CCCTCCCCTCCTCTCCATCTTAAGAAGCCTTTGTGAACTCTTCTGTGTATTTTGGAATTTGTAATTAAGTATTTTTATTACTTTCACTGTAATATGGCTTCAGGTAAAGATGACATTAAGGTAACTGCCTGATATCAGAGTTGTCAGTCCAGACAAGTTTAGCATTCTTGAACGGGGTAACTCTCCTGAGTATCCACATTGCACCAAAGGTACTGAGAAGCAGGCTGTGCTAGAGTCCAGCTGAGTGGGGTGATGCCCTCCAATGACCAGCCGTACCCCGGTGAGCCATTTGGCAGGCAGCAAAAGTGGGGAGCATGTCTGAGCTGCAGGAGCCTCCAGAGAGAATGTGACGTTCCCAGTGAGTAATGCACAGATAATGGCTTGTGATTTCAGGAGCATTGGCAATATTTCCCTGCTGTGTGTTCCAGGCTTCACCTTCACAATAGTGTTGGGTAGAAAGGTGATTGGTGTATGATAAAAAGTAATAAAAAAAGGAAAAACCTTTTCAGTCTTAAAGTATGCCCTAGCGATCAAAGGATTGTGTCATCTGACCTACTTGTGTGGAGAGGTTCATGTTCTGGGTACACTTACCTAGCAGGAAGTTTGGAGGAATTCCAGTGAAACTGGGAATGTTGTGCAACATGCGTGGCTACAGTTCCCCACCAGTTAGAAGATTCTTGTGTTTAAGCCATAGATCTGGAGCAATTCCAGGCAATTAGATTTAAAGTAAACATCCTGGATGCAGTGTGTCAGATACTAGCACAATATTGTTTTAGTCTTTCTCATTTCTCCTGTGGGAATAATCATTCCATGAAGAAGGAAAGTGATCTAATGAGAGACTTAACTCAAGAGCTTGAACACTGAATTAATCACAGCTGTCTGAGAGGGGAACCAAGGCAAACTCCACAGAGAGCTCACTGCATTTCCAAGGAAGGAGGCCAAAAGAATACTAAGACTCGGATAGCAGTTGGTGATCAAAACAGAGGCAGGAGAGAGATGCTTTTAGTAGCTAAAGGGAAGCAAAACTGTGCAGCAGAGAGAGTTTCCCCCCTCATTTCTCTGAGAAGTTAAATCTCAGTAGTAGGGGATCGCTGCAACTTTTTCTTGGAGATGTTGAAAGTTGCCAGATCGCTGGGGTCTGATCCTCACTGTGTCCTCACACTTACCTGAAGTAGATGATTGATTTCATAGCTTGGCTCTTTTTTCACTGTTGTCTAGAGTTGTCCTGCAGCTTCACGCTGAATTAGACCTGCTTGCTAAGGTGATTTTATCAAAGGTGCAGGTCTTTTTTTGCCAAAAGGAAAAATGAGTCGTGCTTGAGAATTATCCGTCTTCAGGCACATGGGACTTCTAGTCTTGCCATTAGGAAAGTTTGGCAATGTTTCAAACTGTAGTCCAAACCCTAATGCTTTTTGGACTCTTTACTTAACTCTTCTTGTCTAAATCACCGTGTTCCCTTGGATAATAAAGTAGAGCAAACACACAACAGACCCATGAGCTGTCTAGAGCATGTGGAATTTTTTTAAATAACTCCAAGTTATGCAAACCTTTTGAACAGAAAAAAGGAAGGAAAATAACCAGAGAATGTGCATAAATTCAGCTAATTTTATTCCCTTTATTTTATATAGTCATTAGATATATACCAGGAGCATGTTTGCTCTCCTAGAAGGTATTGCGCTTGTGTTGACAGAGCTTGTGAGCTGATTTCATTGAGAAGATGGATAGAGTTAAACTCTGCCTGATACCCACCACATTCCACAGCCTGTGTGTGCAGTGGGGTCGTTCCAGAAGCAGTGCTTCCGTGGAATGTGAGATACGTCACGAACTCCGTGAGTAACTGTTAGTAGGATGTCTGCAGGTCCTGCATCTGCTTGCTTTGTGAGTCAGGACATCCAGGGCTCCGCATACACTGAAGCCTTAAAAGATTAAAACTTCCACAGTGTAACATTTGAACTGTAAATGGCATAGGTTGCTACTACACATCCCAGCTCCTTGGCCGCTCTGCTGTTCCCTTGCCATGTATTTCCCTGAATGAATTTTTTCCTTGATTTACCTTTCCTCAGTGCAAGCATTTTTCATCTCCCTTTTCAGAATTTCACCCTTGGGGGCTTGGACTAGTTCTCTGGTTAGAAAGATTATTTTTATTCTAATCTTGTCCTTCAAAGTGCTTGCAAAATCTCTACTTCATTGTCTGAGTAAACTAAAGTGTTGACTAGAATCAGAACAGACCCTTTGGGATTCCTAACAGAAGACCTGTCTGATATTAATGACAACATACTCATAGTAATATTTTAATATATTTTTTAACAGTTGTGCACCCATGTTATGGTGATTTCGTTTGCACTTTGTTTTTTTCAGTTTGCTTATCAGAATGTTACATCAAATGTTACCAAAACCCTTAAAAAGCCATATCTCATCTACAGCTTTCCCTTTTTCTGCAGGCTCGTTGTCTCTCAGCAAGGGAAATTATCCTGTTTTGACATTATTTGTCTTAAGTAATCTAACAATTATTATTTTTATAATTTTGTTATCCTTCAAGGTGCATGGAAATGCATTGTTAATAACTTGTTCTATTTTTTGGATGCTCAGGTTTTTGCAATATTTTATTTCATAAAATCTCTTTTATAATTTTTGCATGATAACTTTCGTCCAGAGATCACCTTACAAAGTGCAACTCCATTTGCAGTGTGAAATAAGGCTCTGAAACAGAACTTGTCCGTGCTAGTCCTAGTTCTGCAATACTTGCAATGATCAGATAACTCTTTTACTGACTCTCTCCCACTGACTCAGTTTGCTTCTCACTATTTATTTTCCTCTCAGGTATATTTTGAAGATTAATGAATATTTATAAAATGCTCTGAGTGAAACCTGCACATGAAAAATGCAACAGAAGTTGAAAATGTCATCATGACTGATGCTTATTATTTTTTAAAAAGGAAGCTATATTGTAATCAATATCCATGCAGAATTAAGAACTATAAAAATAGAGCGAGGACTCTAAAGGTACTACAGGAAATTGTGGCTGGCACAACTAAACTGAAGGTGAAAGCAACTGCGTAACCTGAAGAAAGCCTTGCAATGGCACAAGATACAGTGGGCAAGTTTTGTTAATAATGCTTAGTATTGACATATAGGCAGGATGAAGTATTTGTATTACAGAAGGATGATGAAATCCTTTTCAGTCTGCAAGTAATTAAAGATGAGGTTCATCATCATAAGTAACAATAATTTTAAAGCAGCAGGCTCAGATAACCTATACTAAAGAGCTCTAACAGAACTGTCAAGAGAGATCTCATTTGTAATAACTCCTGGCATTTCAGTGAAGTTTCAGAAGATTCATAGTATTGTGCCAATGTTTAAGGAAAGAAAAATAAATAAACAGAGCAAGCAGGATGACCCAGCTAGCTGTGTTATGGTTAACGTGACACCAGTCCCAAGTAGTACAGTACAAAAGCTGATACTTAGCCAGGTAGTAAATAAGTCAATAATTGGCAATAATTTTTATCAACATTGTCTTGTTGATAAATCCAATTTAATTTATTGACAAAGGTTGTAAGTCTCTTTCCTACAGATTAGTGTAGGAACATGTTTCACAACGTATTTCACAAAGCATTTGATCTACTGTTGTGACGTTTTGATGAAGATCTTAGTCGAGTCTAGTGTCACTAAATAGAGACATTTCAGTTGTCTGGGCCAGCGTGTGTCCAGAAGCAGGGCACGTGCTTTTGAGTGGTGATGCATAGCAGGCACTTACCAAATCAGGTCAGCGTTAGCTGGGGATGTCTGCAATCATCAGTAACTTGCATCTTTCTTTTCCCTGCTTCATCTTCACGGTGTATTGTTGTAGTCTGATTTTTAGTCATTTGTGTTATTTTTAATTTTGCTTTATCTGAGTTATCCTAGCCTTTTTGTAAATGTAAAATCACCACTGATGATAGCATTTCTGAGTGACAGAGAGATTGTCTAAGATGTAAATTACTGTGAGTAGAAAGCAGCTAGACAGAGCAAACGGTGGCTTAGGAAGGTTAGTCTATTCACATGAAGGTTTTGTAATACAGCCAAGTTCAAAGCAATAAGCCTAAGAGCTAAGATCACAGTTCACACCTCTGGGACAAGGGAGCTGTATAGTGGAAAAGAGTAACGCCAAGAAAAAACGAGGAATCGTAACACATGGACGCTGCAAAAAATCAGAATGATGCTCTTGTAGATGGGCAGTGCAATTAGGCAGAAATGTGTAGAGAGGCAGGGACATGGTGCTCTCGCTGTAGGTCACCCTTAACACTGCCATGGAGTACGGCTTTGATTTGTACAATTTAGGGAGGATATTCATGACTGGAGAGGGTATGGAGAAGAACTGTAAGTAGGACTTAAGGAGAGAGGGAATGTCTTACAATGACATATGTAAACTAAATAGAACTAAGACAGAGCTAATTGCTAAGGAGCAATTTGATCGTGTGTATGCGGCTGAGCAGAAAAGCAATGCTGAATACTGAAGAATTCTTTAATACAACAGGCTTTAGCAAAAAAACAGTGGCTGAAAGCTGAAACGACAAGTGTTAAATTAGGGATAATCTTTAACACTGAGGAAACAAATTATCAGGTGCATCGGACAATTCTCCATTATTTGGAGTTTTAAATCAAGACTGAAAGTCTTTCTGGATGATAACTTGCATTTGAATAAAACATACCTAGATCAATGGAAGAATGACCAAGAGGTATGGGACAATTTCTATGATATTGAGTAGTTCTTGACTTTTTGGCTTAGAAAAGAGATGACCTAGAGGAAATAGGGCAGCCCTGAAAAATTATTTGGGTCACAAAAGAGTTAAATCGTTTGCTTAGGGGTACATCATGAGTCAGTGGGAAAGCTACGAATAGGAACGAAATGCATTGTCTTGGTCCCTTAGCTGCTGTAGGATCCAGTGCTGTTCAAGAGCACGCAATAACCAGTCTCATGGGTCATCTTGAAACTAAGCATGGAAGAACTGTTTGTTGAGAGTGCTTTCAAGAGTAATGTAGCCAGGGCAAAGAGAATAAAGTGGAATGGGAAGAAGGGCAGAGACACAGGCAGTGATGATTGTGCTATACTTAACAAAGAACGTGAAAGAAGTCTTTGGCCATGGTGATACAGAAAAAGTTGGTGTTATGGCAGAGGGGATAATTAATTCTTGAATTTTGAGCACAGCAAAATAAAAAGCAGGAAAATTTCTGCTCTGATTCAGGTGCAATAAAGAAGGACAGGAAAGAACAGAGTTAGTGAAATAGGGGGAAAAAAAGGACTGTCAAGAGCTTTACAGAAGACCAAATTCTTGTTCTTTCTTTTCAAACAGTAGAACCAACAAATTCAGTTAGCATGAAATACAGATGTGGCAAAGTATCATTCTAAAACCAATTCAGTGCTGGTAGGAATTAGTCCATTGTTAAATATACTGAGAAGCTGGTTGGAAGCAGAGCATGACCTAACGGGTCTAGCATTACTATTGCAGCTGTGTGAAACCATTCAAATAAATAAACAGCCCAGTGAAGAAAGTGTGCTGGATTTTTAAGATTCTTCTAGTTTAACAGGATGTGCCAAGTCATTGTTTTAACTGTGGGCCAGATCCTTAAATGCTCTAAGGTGCCTAGCTCCATAGCAAGCACTGACATGATGCTGATTTTCACAATTCAATAATCTGACCCCCCAAATTAAATCCTTCTCATTGTTTTCCTGGTGATACCACTATGAAAGGCTGTACAGAATGGCACAGACCTGTCCACTCTATAGCGATGTCAGAGGGAGCATGGATGCATAATTGAAAGGAGGATTTCATTCATCCTTACCTGACGAGTCCCTCTGGGACTGGTGAACATTTTGGTTTTACTTTGACCTTAACAGTGATGCTGGGAAGCAGAATTACTGGTGGGAGAAACCTGACTGGGGCCCTCCCTGACACTTCCATTTGTCAGAGATCATTCTGTTTGGAATCATTCAGTGGGATTAATTGCACTCAAAATTATGCTTCAAATTCATATTGTACGAGACTTTTTGTACTGCTGTTGTTTAAGGTAGAAGCCCAGTGCAACAGAATGTGCATACTGTATACTGGCAATATATGGATCCAGGGATTTATCTAGTACACCACAATCCCCTGTTTTGCAAGAATGTTTCTGAGATACAAAATAAATACATTTTCAGTGGTCAGTAGCCAGGTTCACGGACCTATTTCTGCCTGCAGCATTTCTTCTTTATCGGAGCAGAGCCAGGCACACAGGAACTTGTGAGAGGAGTGCTGCGTGCCTATGCTAATGAAGGGTTTGGGTTGAAGATTTGGTGCATTACTGGCATGGCCTTCCAGAGGTCTCTAGTTCTCACTGTTCCACCTTAAGTCAGCAGGAGCTGCCTGTGCCTCTCCTCTTTGAAAGTCAACCCCTAGATATTACCTTCAGGCTTCTAGCTGTTCAGTTCATCACAAGATTACACCTGTGCTAACCTGTCTGGGAGCTTTGTGATGCAGATGCAAAAACATCAGAGAAAGATTAACATAACCAGCCATTGATTTATTATGTTCTAGGAAGTAAGGGATAAAGCGGGCTTGCGTGATGCCCTGAGCCCAGCCTCCATGATGATTTCTCTCGTCCTGATATACATCCACCAGCATTTATCTTGTCTGTTCCCCTTCGTCTCCCTTTAGTTTCTCAAACTTCAGGAGTCTCTTTTGGCAGGCATGCTCCTCGCTGCTGCTGATGCTGGAGCTTTCCTCTGAGCTTTCGGAGAGGAGATACTTGATTGCCATCATGTCCTTCATGTTCATTTGCAAGCAGAGGCAGGAGGATTCGCTCACCTTAAATGACTCCCCCCACATAGTCTGGCACATGTCAGTCCCATTTGCATACATCTGTGTGTCAAATAAGAAATGCATCATTTAAATTTAAAAAGAATTGAGTTAAAAATAAGTTTGTATTAAATTGATAAATATTTATAACTCTTTAAAAATTGGTACTAGATTATAAAAAAGCAGTCTGCAGTCATTCACTGTCTTGCTGTGTGCCATGCTTCATCACTTCTGAGATATCTTAAAATGTTATCCAGTCCCACAACTGGCAAAAGAGATTTGGCTGTTGTGAGAGCAAGTGATTACACAAAGTGCAAAGTGATCAGTAGCCAGCCCTTTGTTTCCACCCTGGGGCTGACAGCCCAGCTAGCTTTCTGGGTCTAACAGACCAAAGCTGTGTGTGAGAGCCTGTACAACTTGTAGCATGTCAGGATACTCTGACATGTCTCAGGATCTGAGTAGTGCTGAAAGCGCCAGACTGAGTGTTTTGAATACGGGAATCTTTATATCTACAGGCTAGAGACAGGCCAGTGGAGTCACAGCTCCATGGGATGTCACTGTGCTTGCTGCAATGTACATCGTGACTGGGCAGGACCTCACAGACAAAGAGAAGGGACATAACTTAGAAATTGCTTGAAGAAAAGAAGTTTTCTTCAAGCCTCCGAAGTGCTGTGTCCAGTGGTGCAACGGCCTTTCTGGCTCAAGAAATTGTGAACTGCAGCTTCTTGCACTCTCTGCAAGTGAATCTGTCCTGTTCCTGATACTACATTGTTTTGTAAGGCCTGTGTCCTAGGACCTGTACAATCACGCAACAAAGGTATTTCTTGCTTGCCAAGCTCACATTGTGACAACCTTATGTCCACCCAGCTTGAGTCTGCCTAAAGAATATTAGCTTAGGAGTTATCACGTCCAGCCACAGAGTGGGCAGGATATATCTTGCCTGCATTTCTCCCATGTGTTTGTGGTTGAAGTTCAATCTTTTCTGTTTCTGTAAAGGAAGCTTTAGGTACTCCCAGAAGCAAAGCTAAGAATGAAGTTGGGGCTGGGAGTGATGGCAGGAGTAGAAGCCTTGGGAATTAAGTAGTGGGAGTGTTAATGACTGAAACAGCAGACCAGGCAGCAGGACTGCTGGGTTCCATTACTGACTGATTCACCTTGACCGTGTCACCAGCATGTCTCTGAAGGAAGCTGTGTTTCATCTGTAACAGTACAAGCAGTCCTTGCACATGATGCTGATTCTTTAATCCTACAGTGTTTCTCTTAGTGCTGTAATTTCTGGATGGTGTGCTGGTTTACCATCATCACCAGCTCATGTAAAGATCTGACGCTGTGAATCTTGGAGAAGGTGCCCTGTGTTTGTGGTTGGGAGGTTTCTGCATGGAAGCTGCTCTGTATGAAAAAAATTAATGATTACAGATTTAAGTCTATTATGTAGAAGTGGAACTGGGCATCTGTAGTCCTGCAGCTTCTTCTGCTCCACCTATTTCCCACAAGTTCTTCTTATGAGGTGTCTCCCTGTCTCCCCACATGCAAAACTATGTTGACCTATACTGTGCAGGAAGGCAGATGAGAAGAAATCATAATCATCACTTTTGCCTTAGAAATCTGTCCTTTGTGAATAATAGAGTCCATTCCAAATAGCCCCAAAGACTCTGTAGTCTGTAAAATAGCTTTTCAGTTCACGCCATCTCTAGCCAGGGCTTGCTCCATGGATGCTGCAGTTGCTAGAGGAGGAGTGTGGAGGTTGGCTAGTGCACTGGGAGCAATGCAGGGTCAGAAATAGAAAGGTTGCTGCATCTAGTTCTCTCCGTGTGTTCTCAGGGCAGGCAGATGTTAGCTGTTTCTTTCCCACTACTTCTGTGCTTTTAAGCAGCATTAGACATTTTCTTCCAGCTCCTGTACAGTTCCTGGATTTCTACCTGCTTTTAGTTAATCATTCCAGAAAGTATTAAAAGCTGTCATGTGGATTTTCTTAGGTCTGTATGCAAGAGACATGACTACATCCTATTCTTATGTCCCACAGGTTCTGCAACATGTATTCATCATGCTCTTCTACTAGCTAAGTTGGCAATTTTATTTTGACCTTCCTCCTAACTCTGCTTAAAGATCAGAGCATAGCCAGAATGCTGCAGCAAACAAACAGTGCACACAGCCCATTTACCAAACGTGTCCCTAAATTACTGCAAAGGATTCTGATTCTTCAGCTTCTTGGAAGATGTTCTAGTCTATGCATTAACATTGCTTGGGGAGCACTCGGCTGGGGGAACAATGACAAAATGTGCCTCATTTTAGCCAGGCTAAAACTGGCTATGATCCATTGTGCATTCTTAACATTCAGCATTTGTCCCATATTCAGCATTTGTTCCAAACAGTCCTTACAACCACTTGCATACGTCAAATATAGGGCTGCTGATTGCTCCTCCGTATGAGCTGAGGCATCAAAAGAAGATAAGCATCTGCCCACAATGCTCTGACACTGGAGACCCCTTTGTGCTTCTGGGTAACAGTAACTTTCTTTTCCATGAGTTGAGTCCAAACCAAGCGAGTCTAGTGCTTGTATATCATGTAATTTTCATATGGGAAATGTGTTTTTTTAATTTCTCTGAAGAAACTTCATCTTTATTCTTACTTACCATGCAAGCCTATTTTTGGTGAAAAACAGGGGCAGTTTAGGGTGTGGTTCCATTTAGTTTAGGAATAGCTGCGCCTGGCTTCAAGTGATAAGACCTCTGGATTTGCTGCATGTTTTTCCCTGCAGATGGTATATTTTCTTTAAGAAATAAGTACAAGGGAATTCAAGGTTAAAAACTCCTATCTCTGGACCAGGGACAGTTTGAACAGGGACTGGAGATTATTTACAGAGATTATAATTTCGTTTTCCACTTCATCTGGAACTACTGATGATTTAGCACATCTGGGAAACTGAGCTGTAAGTTTCCGCAGCCCATTTGTTTTTTGGCCACCTTCCTGAGCTTGCTGATTAGTGTCACTTTTGCAAGGCAGACAGCAATCCTGCACTAACTGGACTGTGACTTCCACTTATATCAGTTGCTGAACTGACTTCTGGAAGTACATGCACTTGAATTGAATTCAAAACAATGAATCTGGGATCTTTGCAAGCCTTACCACCGGTGCCTAAGCACTACATTTAAATTTCGTTTACTTCTGCAATTTGGACAGTTTTCATGGACTCAGTGAAGTTCAACTGTTAAAAATATTCAAACAGGTATAGCAGTTTTGAGCTGTATTATATTGCCCTGATGCTAAACTTACTTGAGTCACTAGAAGAAAATCCTACCTGACTCTTGAAAGGTCTGTAGATCAGGTTCCAGGCAACCTTGCTCCTATAAGTCGTCAGTTATAATTTTATACACTTTTGCTCATAAAATTAGTTATCCCAACCATTAAACCTTCTCAGAAAGATGGGATGAGCTCTCAGAAAGCTTGTCAGTGCTGCTCTTTAACCATCAGAGTGATATAGAACAGAGTTAGCCCTGCCTAGCCATTGGCAGACACGATGGAGAACACACATCAGAGATATGATAGGTCTATGGAGGACAAAAGGGAGACAATTAGAAGAATGTCAGGACTTAGGCATTTGGAAGATGGAGAAGGACTTGAACATAACAAGGTAAAATAGAGAAAAGGGCAAAGATGCCTAATAGGCAAGAAAACCTTAAAAATTCCATAGTGATTTGGGAACTTACGTCCCAATTTAAAAAGACAGAGGTGTATAAAGCCCCACAGTATGTAAGGAACCTTATAAAATGCATCTCAGTGCCTCTGTTGTATGAACAAAGTTCATTTATCTTTTACTTTCTAAACCCCACTGTGGTTAAAGTATCAGTGCTGCTTGAACTTTTACTTTTGTTTCAGAAGTGGTATGAATAGTGATTAATTAAATGTATATATACTTAGAGTAAGCAATCTACATAAATATAAATGTTTTAAAATTTATATACTTAAAAAGTCTGATGTAGGTATGGCTTGAAACTGCTGAAGTAAAAATAATTCACCTGTTGCATTTTACACCCATATATTCAGGAAAAAAAAAAGAACTCTTAATGCCATTTTTTCTGCTCCAGTTGATCAGGTTTTCTTACCTCACTATATGGAATACATTTATTCTTACAGTGGTTTTCTCCACTTTCATCCCATTCCCAGTCCGTCAGCCAGTTATGAACACATATGGAATCATCTTTGCAGGCTTCGTACCTTCATGGAGATTAGTGTGGAAGATACAGTTATTTCTCTCACTTTTTTTTCAGTGGACTCAGATTCAACTCAGAAAGCCTACGTGGGCTATGCTAGTAACGTGGTATGGTCACACAGTGCAGCTTAGCAACAGATCTTCAAGAAATGTGCACATTATCTTAGCTTGACATGTACATAAACTCTGAGCTGGCCAGGAAGACCTAAATCCCAATGAAAACTAAACAGTTCACCCACTGTGTTTTATACTCACAGACTTAAGTAAAGGGCTCATGTTCTGAGGAGCAACACTCATTCATGCAGTGTTTTCTGCTTGGTTATGTCCGCTGATGTTACTGAGTGGAGGAAATACTGTGTGGGAGGGAGTTTCATGAATGCTGATGTTCAATAGTGTGACAGAGCACAGGTACGCTAAGAGTGAACTGTCACTTGAGGGAGATGTGGGGAAAGTTTGTATTTATGAATTAATATGGGAAAAGAAGCATGATATTGCCTGGGCAGGGGGTTGCTATGAGGAATGAGCACTGAAATAAGGAAAATCCACAAACAACAAAATCATATAAACTAATAGGCTGTCAGCCTCAGAATGACGTTTTCAAAGAAGTTAAACTTGAAGTGAAGGAGGAAAGATAAGAGTCTCGTAGGGTATAGGTCTAAAATTTTAAATTTTAAGTTATTTTTAACTTGTAAGCCGTAATGTAAAAAAAAGCCTATAAATGGCCTGGAACGAGTATGGTATGCAACTGGCTGGTCTACGTGATGAGAGATCTCATGACTTACCATTATCCTACATAATTTCCTTCCTTCCACTTCTTTTTATGTTCTACTTCTTGGCTCTTACCTTTCTTAAAGATCACTTTCTGCAAATCAGTTAACATCTACTTAAATTTATTCTCAATGGCTTCAGGCGGACTATTCACACCAGTAACCAAGAGTGCCAAAACCATGAGGCACTAACTTCAAAAAGTTAGTGTAGTTCAGCATGGTATTTATAATTAATGCCTTTGGATATATTTTCTGTTCATAAATGTTATCATTTTTAATCTTCAGGGTCACGTTTCCAAAACTACTTTGATATAACGAGGGCTGCAGACTTACATTTTTAAGTGAAATATGAGTTGTCATGTGGTCATAGAACTACAAGAACTAGACATTGCAGTACATTTGCACGTGCAGAAAGGTAAGAACATGCACATCTGCAGATTTTTTTAGAGGGAGAAAGAGCAGTAACAGATGGAGGGTAACCAAGGCCTGAACTAAACACGTCTAGGGCAGAAGACACGTATTCCCAAATGTGTTCATCCATGAATCTGTTGCCAGAGGTAGGGGCTCTGCTGGAAATAATAGGCTGCAATTTGATAAATTAATATAATGTGACACTAATAGGCAGGTCCTACCAGTTTGTGCCATGACTGGATTTGGGACTAGGGACTATAAGAATAATGGGTTTGTTGTTTGTTAGCTGCTGCGTGTACCCTGACTGAGAAAGACACACAGAGGTAACTCCCCAGTGACAGCTGTTTCTCTAATGCTAGTCACTTTGCCTGCTTGAAGGCACACCAGTTAGGAGCATCAATGCAAACTTTTTGTTAATCACCGTCTATGAACTCTCCACATACCAGCATCAGATTCAGCAATTAGCCCTTGATTCTTCAAGCCATGTAGGCATGTCCTTTACGCATGCACTTAAATTCATTGCTTTCTAGCAAAGTCGATCAATATCTACTGTGAGCTGCCTAATACTAGCATTTCCACCTAAAGCAGTTGTGCCCTTCCCACAGTCTTCTTTTTTGGTTTCCTTTTTTATTTGGCTAAATATTTTTCAGCCTGATGGGTTCCCAGACCAGGGTTGCTTCATGGCCTCTCAGACAGTGCCGCTGGCACATGGGTGGAGACAGGGTAGGGGAAAGAATGAGCAGCCCTTGGGGCTGAGGAGAGGGCAGAATTGCTTCTTTTGAAATTAGTGTCACCTTCAGTTATACTTTTCAAATTATGAATATGTATTTCAGAGTTTTACTGAACTGGGGCACTCATGCTATGCATCTGGTTTCCTCTGGAGTTTGAATTAAATATGTTTATTAAAGTATTTATATTTTTATTCACTATATCTATTGAATTGTCAGATGAAATGTTTCATAATTATGATTATTGCCTGACTCTGTGGTTTGTATATAAGCAGGTAGCAAGGCTATTGTTACAAGTTTTTCTTTATCCCGATGGAAGTAATTATGAAACTAAGTTTATGAAAAATCGTGCCTTATGAAACGTCTGATTTCTGCTGTTCAGAAACCCATAAGTGGTTTCTTCAAACATTAATTAAAACCCGTGAGAAACATAAACATAAATACTTAAAAGATCCTCCCTGAACATACTAGTTCCCTATACACAATGGCTTGTACATCGGGCTCTTTCAAAAGCAATAGTTTTAGGACTAGTGGGAGCAAGGAATCCTAAGACAATAGGAAGAAAAGGCAGGCCCCAAGCTAGTCAGATGAATTTCTTTTAAATGAAGTCACTGCTCATTCAGAATCCTCTGCACATTTCTGGCCACAAAGACATACAGTATGCAGCAGGCACACTCACGGCATGTAGAGAAAGTAGGTCACATCACTAGCAGTGCTACAGCATGCTAAAGGGACTCCAGTGAATAGAACATGAAAAAAATGTTACTTTAAATCACCAGAAAGAGTGGGAATTCTGTTCAGGCTCTTTTCTAGCCTCAGGCCTTAAGCAGGGTGATGGAATGGGTTTGACATTGGCATTAGGCAGGCACACAGACTAGCATGAACAGTAATGGGTCATCATTACATTTTTGATTCAGGCCAGGCATCTATGATGCCAAGAGGGGCAACAGATCATTGTTCAGTATTTGTTTAGAGTAGACCCTACTCTTTGCCAGGAGACTCTATGCTGGAAAAGGGTCAGTTTTTCCTGTGCAGCAGCTCTCAATCACACCCCCCACACTTTCCAACAACAAAAGTTACAAATGCTAGTTACCTGGAGGTTCTGGCAATAGCCAGGGGACACTGATGGTTTTGCTATGTAATACTGACCCGCTATATACACTTTGGTATAAATCTCATATATACTAAGGCTGGCTTAAACCAGTCATAGATGCAAACTAAACTTACAGGATATATTGTCTTTCATCTTTACACTTTCACTGGATATAGCAATTTGGTGATGACTTTGTGTGCTACTTAATTTGGGATACATTTGTTTTAGATATTGGTATTCTATCGCTTTGCCTGTTAGATCTATTCTAAAGCTCACTGGCAACTCCAATGCTTTAATAACCAAATGCTTTCAAATTTTGGTAATATTTGGTTCTGAGCTTTGAGATTCTGAGCACTGAGGCAAATTCAAGGTCTCAGTCTTTATCTTCAAGGAGGTCAATAATCTGGATTCAGTTTAGAAGATTACCAAAAATTTAGGAAGGAAGACTGCACATGACGAATCTGTTCCTGAGGCACATGGAGTTTCCTAACACAGAAATAAAATTCCTTACTAGAGGAAACTCTAGGGAAGCTAAGAAATACATCAGCCCTTCTCACTATCTTCCATTACAAATGCAAGCTATGCTTCTTATTTCCTTCTCTGGCACAAGGCAATGGAGACATATTTAAAGACAAATCCTACCAAAATACTGCACTGCATACATGACTTTGCCCTTGGAGAGAAGATAAGAGTGAAAGTGGATCCATGTGTCCATAATATTCAAGTTGCATAACGACTAGGGAAAGCACTGTACAGAGCAGTGCAAGAGAACCTGACCATGCACTGCTGTGTGTACTGTGTTTTCTGTGCTTCCAAGAAAAGCTCTTTTATAACGTTTTTAGAAGTATTAAACCCATTTTCTGTGATTTTCAGAGCAGCCTAAGGGATTCAGACATTCCCAGTTCATTACTTTCAAGGGATGCTACCAGTTACAATCCTACAGTAGGAACACAGCCTGTGCTGTTTGTACTATGCTTCACACCAATTTAACCATACAGACAAGTTACTGTAGTTACTAGGCACAACATTAATATGGTACTGAGATTTATATGACGTTATTTAAGCTTCAACATCTCATAACAGGGAGGGAGGAAGGGAGGGAGGGAGAGATATGTGTACCACTGAAAAAATCGCAGTACCCCACCTGGATATAATGCTCCTACCCCAAGACTAAGGACAGACGGGTGCTGGGTTGTCCCACTACATGTCTTGCACCAAAAAATAATGTGATTCCCTGATGCTGTATTTTGGGGAAAAAAAATTAAATGCTATTATGCTTGCTCATTGCTATTAATACTTTTAGCATTACGTGGCTGCAAGTTTCTCCGAGATTCAGGCTTTTAGAAGTGGTTTTAGAGAGAGGGATGATGGAAGGGAAGAGAAAAGGCCAAGGGTGAAAAATTAAGAAATTAAGCTAATTTGTTATATGAATTAATTGAAAACATACAGAAAGTGGCTGCTTTCATGATTTCGTAGTGCATTTTATACATATAAAAGAAATGTATCATGTCATGATCAAGTATTTAGATTTAAAATGCTAACTGCATAAATGCTAACTCACAGGCATGGACTTTTCAAAGGTTGGGCGGGCCCTCACTGCTGTTAGAACTGCCTGACGTTAGTGCCTGTCAACGTGGTGAGAGCTCCTCCGTCACGTCAGGCAGTTCTGATGCCACTGCACTGCATCCTAACGGAGAGCATGGCAGTGCTGTCCCCGAGTCACTAAACTCTGACACAGTTTAGTGACTCCATCCCGCATTCAGCCTGTGTCATTATTATTTTGGGGGTAGTAGCTTAGCAGAGGAAAAAGTAGAGATGGCAAACAAGAAATGAAGAGGAAGAACAAGAGAAAAGGCATAAAAGTGATGCAACACCATCGAATCTTAGTGCTACTTGATTGGGAGATCTGTGCTTCATCCACCCATGCTCCTTGACACCCTAGTAACACAGGCATATTAAAGCTAAATAAAAATACTTCAATAAAAAGCTGAACCTACCAGTCATCACAAAAACTTTGACACAGTGGAACAGACTGAATAGCAGCAGTGTAGCTGGGATGGATCCAGTGAGCAGCATGTGGAGAACATCGGTAAAAGCACTCAATTTTCTTCGTGAACACTTCACAGCTGTGGTGGGTGAGAAAAGCCACAAATAAACTTGTTTCTTAGCATCAAGGCTATAGCCTCAGTTTTCTAGGCCCGCTTTGATGTGGATGCAATACTATAGATTAGGAGAAAAACATAGAAAAGCATCCTTTCGCCCTGTTAGTGTCTAGGTTCCAAACTCATTCCTTTGGCATTGTGTACAGACTCTGACCGTGCAATTACCATAGCCAGCTAAAGAGTGCACAAATGTTTCCATGCATATTTCAGCCCTATTTGTGTAAGCCTTCTGTAAATTTTTGAGGCCTTGAGTTTTCCTGGCAAGAACGATTCCGGGCAATAATAAAATGTAGTTTAAAACTATAGTACAAAACTTATTCTACACTGTAGCTTCATGGTTTCGCTAATCTTTAGCTTTTCCCACAGCCCAGCTGAAGTTACTTAAAAACGCATACTGTTGCTGCTCTTCTGGGAGTGGCAGGCAATAGCTGTTACTTTTGAACATCTGTTTTTGCTTAATTGTTTTGTGCTTTCATTCTTTTAGTTCTATAACTTGCCATGTTTCACAGCTCTAACATCTAACGGGGTACTAAAAATCTTAATTATGAAGACATTCTTCATGGTTACAAAACTCACAGGACTACAAGAATTTTTATTCTAAATATTCAGATGTTTCATTTCTGGACTCTTGTGCATTTTGTTTGCGAGATTTAATACTCTAGTTGATCTGCTTTCTAAACAAAGGAAGAAGCCTGGTCTGTATTGACTAGGGGTCACACTCACTGGTATGTGATGGTTGCTTTGGAGAGCTACAGAGGTGCGGTATGGTTGTTACCTACTGGGTTTATGACTGCTTTGCACTGCTAGATCTGGTTCTATACTGAAAGCAAACTTGAAAAAACATAACCCTTTCTTGATAAAATGGCATAAATCCTTCTGCACAAATAGGATATACTTAGGGATTCATGGGCTTTTGTGAGGGAAGAAGAAAAGCCAGATGTTGGTCAGGTGTAGAGACAAGACGATGGGAACTAGGCTGGGTGGCATAATCTCTAGGGCAACCTAGGGACTGTCCATCAGCAACTCCAGGGGGAGTTACAATTAGCTGTGTGGCTGCTACAGCACAGATCTATTGAACCAGGACACAGACAACATCAAAGCTGACTTACGATTTACTGAGTTGCCCACATCTGTTCCAGTAGCTGTTGTTTACTTTAATTACTGGGGAATGAGCCAATTGCTCTGTGAAGTCTGCATAGCAACAGGAAGCTGTTAGAAATGAAACAGAGATCTTGCAATAAGGATTTTCTTTAATATTGTATTTGGAAGACTCAAAATGTAAGATGAATCTGTTTCGGTCCATAACATGATAAAGTCTCTTAGCACTAACTAGAAGATGTACTCAAGCTCTAACATTTTTGGTTTTGGAAGTAGCAGTGTAAATGCTAAGTGAGGTGGACTGGCATCAACAGTGCTTTGTCAAGGTGTGCCCAGAGAGGCCCAAGAATTTTACTAGTGTTCTGCCAGATGTTATATCCTGAGGGATACTAACTTCGAAAGCTACCAAACATAAAAAGAGAGTTGAAGAAATGTAATAAATACTATACTTTGCTCACTATAGAATTTTGATTTCAACCTTTCCCATTTGGTGTCTGCTACAATTAATTAATTTTTATCCTTAATCACAATAAACCAAATTAATCTTCGCTGTAAACTTTTTTAAGCAGATGGAGCTACAAGAAAAGTAAACTGCATCAGAATTTTTTAAAGATAACAAATGAAGTCAATGAGTTTTGCAGTTGTCTTTGTTAAGAACCAGAATCTTACTCTCGGTTTGCATGCAGCAAAATGCCAATGAAGGAAGCTTTTCAAATGCAACGTATACTGCATCTTATTAAGCAGATGAGCTACAAGAAAAGTAAACTGCATCAGAATTTTTTAAAGATAACAAATGAAGTCAATGAGTTTTGCAGTTGTCTTTGTTAAGAACCAGAATCTTACTCTCGGTTTGCATGCAGCAAAATGCCAATGAAGGAAGCTTTTCAAATGCAACGTATACTGCATCTTATATATATTTGAGAAATTAAGGGAACTGCCAAAACAATTAGTGTGTACAAAGCTGTACTTCTAGACTATATTTGGCAAAATTTAAACCACTCTTACATTTAGAGTACAGAGTGCATTCATGCATATTTGGCTCAGGACTTGGCTTCAGTTTGTGGGTGTCCCCTTCCAGACATCCGTATTTTTGACAGGTAGATGACGTTATGACAGCAAAGAGGGTGACAGCAAACCTCAGCATTGTTGTTCGGTTCTTTTTCCTGTATGGAGAGAAGTCTTTATTTATAACCTTTATTTCTAGGAGAAGCCATTACATTAAAAGGAAGGACTGGTTTAAAAAAGCTACATATATAACCAAATAAAAAATGCTCAGCAAAGATGCACACATAAATATTAAGACACACATTCTCCCTTTCTCTTTGCTTATATCTGAACACTTATACTTCTGCTACATATTTTTGAGGTTCGGTGGCAAGTGATAAAAGCCACCAATAATTCAGGCTATTTATGAAAACGTGTTATAATTTTCAGTATTTAAGAAAATGATTTTAAATTTCTTAGACCAACCTGAATTTATCTTTGAACCCTTCCAAGAGCCATTCCTCTGCTTCACTAGATTTGAAGAAAAGATTGATTAGTTCTAAAACTTGCAGATTGTTTTGCACACTTGGAAATTACACATTTAATACAGCTGCAAGTGAGCTAGTAGTGGTCAGCACCTGAGCTGGATCAATTACATTGATAACTTGCCTTTGTTGAGGCTATGCTAATTTGTAGCTAAGAATCTGATCCATTATTTTCTACCTCTTTTGTAGAGTTTGGTCAGAAATGCAAGATAAAAACATTTTGTCTGTGAGACTAAAATTTCTCTAAACACAGACTACGTATTAGTGAGCTATATAGATAAATCTAGAACCTGTTCGATAAATCAATGCATAATTCTTTATACATGTTATCAGTTTAACCCTTCATTCTTTAGTTATATATTCCTGTTATCTTTTTGGCATAATTTTGCCTGAATAAGGACTGCAGCTCCTCTATGTACCTAGACTTTTCAGATATAAAGAAAACAACATGTTACAGAAGAAGAAAACTGTCTTTCCAATTTCTCAGTAGTTTCTCACCTCTTTTGCTGTCCTTCTGGGTGATACTTCTCCCTGGAACAGGAACACAGTAAATTGCTTTTCTCATTTTCCAGTTTATATACACACCATCTGGCATCAGTGCTCCAGAATTTGTTTGCCCTGGAAGAGTTCCTTGACCTTTGGAGTGCTAACATAGATTTATCTCAAAAGCAGATGCAATGACCAGCACATAATGTCCTTTTATTGCTTTCAAACGTCGAGATGATAAAGAGGAAAGTAAAAACATAGGTTAGAATTAGAAAAACAACAGCTCTCCTGTATACCAAATACAACTACCCCCCCGCCTGATTTTTCAATTGTTCCTTTTATTAGTAATTATTAGAATAATTTCTACAACATTTCATGGGGCTTTTATCACAGATTAGGACTTCACTGAATTAGAGACATTAAAAACAACGCTTCGTATTTCAGCCTGACTGGCTTAATTTTGACTATGGCTTGCCTTGGCTTACACAGTAATTTTACTGCAGCCCCTGGAAGAGAAGCCACATCTCCTGATTCCCAGGTCTTCGCTCTTTGTTCACAAGATCCCTTTAAAACCTGCTGCCGTTTGCTCTGGTTGCTCTACCTGCCTCATACATACTCTTCAACCAGTGTCATAAGCACTACAAGGAACTGTTGCTTGTACCATTGATAGTGATTCCTGACTGGATTTCCTTTTGAGATCTGCTTTCTGCAAAGAGGATTCTGCATCTGAACATAAACCATTGCATAAGGTAGACATGGTGATTACAAGTAGTTGCACTTACTTTCATAGATCAAATCTCGTTGAGTACTGTAAAGAGCAGTACCACTCACTACCTTGCAATTATTTAGATGCATAAGGAAAGTAGCATCTGTTGTTTTTGTGTTTAAAACAGAACACTGGTTTGTCAGATAACACTCTGTGGCCATTATTTACAAACCTTTTTTTCTTGAAAAAACAAACATTGGCACAGTGGAGGTGTGGTATGAACCTCATTGAGCAAACTCACTGAGTATGATACTAAAACAATCTCTATAAGCTACAAGCACTGATTCCTATCCTAGCTCTAGTAAATGCCTCAAGGCAAAAGTGTTGCTGGCCTAAAAAGAGCCATTTCCAGATCAGTGGAAACTGAGTGATTTTTATGTTCCAGAATTAATTTAATTAAGACAAGTTTAAAGAATGAATTTAATTAAGGCAAGTTTAAAAAGGCATAAAGTAACTACAGGAGAAACTGAAGTAAATCTAATGGCTTATTACCCATGCTTTCACCTCACGTGGCTTGATCTAGTGTTGGCTGAAATTAATGGAGCTCCTTGCCGATTTGTAATTTAAAGGACTCGTGCACACTGCTCGGCACTTGGATCTGTGTATTCATACAAAATAAAGACCACTGTATAATATGAACACTCATTTTCAACATTGTGATGAGTGGATGGGCTAGCCAGCCTGGTAAAAAGCACAGAAATAGTACATTGGAGCTTGATCTAGTGTTGGCTGAAATTAATGGAGCTCCTTGCCGATTTGTAATTTAAAGGACTCGTGCACACTGCTCGGCACTTGGATCTGTGTATTCATACAAAATAAAGACCACTGTATAATATGAACACTCATTTTCAACATTGTGATGAGTGGATGGGCTAGCCAGCCTGGTAAAAAGCACAGAAATAGTACATGCTCTGTGCCTTACTACTCGGTTTGCATAAAAGGTATGCACGCTTGGAAAGGTGCAAGGATGCCAGGAGGTTTCTTGTAATGCCTCTGTTCACTGAATTGACATACAAATTATATTAAGCTATAGGAAACTGGGATCTCTTTCAGGCTTTGAGTATGAGCCAAATGGGACCACTTGCTGGGAGATTAGGCAGAGTTTCTAGCAGCAGGAAGGAAAATTGTCATATGTTTGTGATTTCTCAGACTTGGCTTTGGTTAGCAATACATGTAAGCAGGCTCAGGCTAAGGAGGTTTTAGAGATCTCAGCTATACATCTGCATCACCTGAGAAGTGAATCTTGATTCTTTTTTCTGTGTTCTCTGACTAGTTATTTTGTGTAATGTCTTACACTGAGAAACTCGTTAAAGGAAGTTTCTTACCCCTTCCCATACTTGAATGGGTCATTTCTCTTTATTTGTTAAAATTGAACTTATTTTCAAGTACTCAGTGATGTTCTTGGGCTTTTAAGACTCCTACTGCCATGTAATTTTAACTTTAATATCAGTTCCCTTTAACTCTAGCCCTTCAAGAGCTAGAGTTAAAGCATGCATGATGTTAAGATATTGCCACAGACACCAATTCTGGCACCACAACATTAAGTTATTTTTATTATTATTATCTGATGATCTAATTGATAGTGACCTATGATGCTAGTAAAAGTATGCATCTATTCCAAAACCACAAACACTGCTATACTAGGTCTCAAGAGCCATCTACCTGAGCAACTTCCTTCTGGCAAGAGCCATTAGCAGAAACTTAGGGGAAAAAAATGTTTAAAAAATAAACCTAGTTGCTAACTTCTCAGCTTCTGGCAATCAGCTTAGTAACTATGTCAACTGACATCTCCTAACTCAACATAGCGATTCCTTTTTTGTGAGTCAGATCTCTTTAATGACTGAAGTAAGCTTTTACGGTTTTATATTCTTGGTAACTCTGCAAAGCCGATGTGGTTAAGGGAAAAATTGTTTGCACGTCCAACCAGTGACAACTGCCAGATCCATTTCCCTTCTTGGCATCCAGAAAGTGTAACAACAGTGTGACTGGAGGGACACAGCTTCAGGAACATAAATTAGAGCATTTGGCCTGTTACAGCTTTATTATAGATGGCAATGTGTGCTAATGAAATTAATCTGTTTGTTCCTCATATCTCAGTGTGAGCCTGCATGCTCAGAAGTCGGAAGTGTTTTTCTCGTTAACTGTAACAAGAACTGTAATTAGGAGCACAGGTTGTTATCTAATTTAATGTCATTCCTGAAGCTCCTTTGCAGAACTGCATTTAAAGTTGCAACAAGGGCACATTATTTCATGATTAGTTAAGTATATATTCTTGACTTTCATTATGTTAGACTTCAGAACCAAGAGTTTGTATTCACAAGTCTCTGCTGAATCTATCATGTCACAAGTCAAGCTGAATGCCAAAGGAGACACTCCAGATGGACTCAGTCTGGCACTCCTGACTCTGGAAAAAAAAAAGAAGAGGTCAAATCTTAACGCTACTGAATTTAAGGTGTGATTTCTTTCTGTACACTTTGGTGGGGCTGGGATTTCTCCTTTTATTTTGCCTGTGTAAGGAATACCTCGTGGCACAAAGTAAGGCTTACTTGCTTTATTTGAGTACACAAATGTTGCTGAGCTAGTTCTCCAACCGGGCACAGGAATGACAAAAGCACCAGTAATTTTATATAACCAAGAGAGTGAGTCAGTGGGGGGAAAAAAAAGGCAGATATTTTAATGAATAGTAGGTTTAAAAAGCAATCACAACCCAAACAACAAAATTATCATTGTAAAAATGTTATTTTAAGCCCCATGTTAGTTTTTTCAAAATTAAAGGGGACAAAAATCTACTTATTGTAGCTTATTACTGAGTTGAAAGCACCTCTTGAAAGCATAACTGAATGCTTTTCCTTTGCCCTAGTCTTTCATTTGCCTTTCACATTCTGCTAGTCTGTTACTGTAAGGTTCCTTGAACCACTAACAATTATTGTTATTTTTTCTACAAAGAACAGGCTTTGGTTTGGATAGCTACTGACCGTGTGGTGTGATGTGGGCTTTCACAAGTGACAAAGAAAATCTGGGTTCAGCTTGACCTATACTCCAGAATTAACCAACTGCAATCTTGTTTCTAATTTAGACTATTAATATTTGATTGAATTTTCTACAATCACTTATGATTGTAGAATGATGAATTTCTTTTTAGGGGAGTATGAATACTATTTTTTTTTAACTTACACTTTTATTATGGGTATTTATTATTTGTATAGAGGTAATACCTAGATGTCCCTGCATAAAGTTGTGATGTAGTGTTCTAAATTATTTGGTGCCAATACTGGATTATGGATGGCCATGTCCCACAGCCCCCTTTTCTGCCCTGATCCTGTACTGCCCCTTTCCCTCCACTGTGCTGGCGCAACCCAGATGGCATCGTACACC